GCAGCTGGGAGCTTGTTCACCCGGACTCGGAGCTCAGCCGCCCTCTGTTCCTAGGTCGCACCAACCATTGTCCTTGGTGGGTGGGACCTCCCCTCGGGTACCGAGCCAAAGCCACTCCCTGGGACTGCGGTGGGATTGTCAATTCTCCCACTGGACGAGAGAGTGATCACACGGGGGCTCAGGGCTACTGCTGCCTGCTCCCACAGTCCTGCTGAGACACACTTCTGCCGTTCGGGGCCATAGCAGTACTATGGGTGTTCACGGCAGCCAGGAGCTCGTTTGCCTGGGCAGCATCTCAGCCGCCCTCTGCTCCTAGTTTCCACCAGCTTTTGTGCTTGGTGGGCGGGGCTTCCCCACTGGGTCCAAACGGGCACTGCTCTCTGTGGGCCATGTGGCCCTGAGGGCTCTCCCACTAGATGGCAATCACATGGGGGCTCAGGGCTGCCATCACCTGTTTCCACAATCGCGTTGAGGCATGCTCCCACCCTCAGGGCCGCAGCGGTGCTATGGTTGCCCCAGCCGGGAAAGAAGTTGCATGCATGCCCTGTACAGCCTCGGGTCCAGGGGGGACCTATCTCCACCACCTCCTCAGGAGGTAGTCGATCCACCTTCAGATATATAGCTGTTCCGGTTTCTCAGGCATCCTGATGTGCTGTGTGGGTATCCGCTGCTGATCAATGAATGTCCTTTTAGTTGTAGTTCGAAGGGAGAGAGACAGAGGGAACAGCTCACTCAGCCATGTTGCTGACGTCACCTTCTTTAAATTGTTTTGGGTATATACCCAAAAGTGGAATTACTGGATCATTTGATAATTCCATTAATTTTTTGAGGAACCACCATGCTGTCTTCTAAAGCAACTGCACCGTTTTGCATTCCTACCAGCGGTGCGCAAGGCTTTCAGTTTCTTCCCAGCCTTGCCAGTACTTGTTATTTTCTGTTTTTTTAATAATAACCACCCTAATTGGTATGAAGTGGTATCTCATTGTGGTTTTGATTTGCATTTCCCTAATGATTAGTGATGTTGAGCATCTTTTCATGTGCATACGTATTGGCCATTATGTCTTCTTTGGAGAAATGTCTATTCAAATCCTTTGCCCCCCCCCCCCACCCTTTTTTTCCTGAGGAAGATTTGCCCTGAGCTAACATCTGTTGCCAATCCTCCTTTTTTTGCTTGAGGAAGATTAGCCCTGAGCTAACATCTGTGCCAGTCTTACTCTAATTTGTATGTGGGTTGCTGCCACTGCATGGCTGAAGAGTGGCGTGGGTCTGTGCCCAGGATCTGAACCTCTGAACCTGGGCCGCTGAAGCGGAGCGCATCGAACTTAACCACTACGCCATGGGACCAGCTCCTCCTTTGCCTCTTTCTTAATTGGATTTTTGTTGTTGTTGTTGAACTGTAAGAGTTCTTTATATTTCTGGATATTAACCCCTTATTAGATAGGAATTTGCTAATATTTTCTGCCATTCTGTGCATTCTTCTCACTCTGTTGATAGTGTCCTTTGATGCACAAAAGTTTTAAATTTTGGCATAGTCCAGTTCCAGTTTTATCTGTTTTTTTCTTTTATTACCTGTGAGTTAATTTCCTTTCTGTTTTTTGATTTGTTTGATGTCAGGAGGTGGCTGGGACTCAGTTTTTTCTATTATATGGTTAGCACTTAATGTTAGTTTACCTTACCTAGTGTTAGTCATAAAGTGCCCTTAAAAATACGGTTTCATGGGTGGGGCCGGCCTGGTGGCCTAGTGGTTAAGTTCGATGTGCTCCACTTTGGCAGCCCAAGTTCAGGTCCCTGGCATGGACCTACACCACTCGTCAGTAGCCATGCTGAGGCAGCAACCCACATGCAAAATAAAGGAAGATTGGTGACAGTTGTTAGCTCAGGGTGAATCTTCCTCAGCGAAAAAAAAAAGTACTGTTTCATGATAAGACTTTGTAATGGGCTTTAGCATGCTCTGAACATAGGTCAATGTCACAGACCCCAGAGTCTCCTTGGGCTTCGTGTATGGAGACCCACACTGTGCCCGACTCTGATCTCCAAGCTTTATACCCACAGAATCAGGTTACACTCCTGGCCACGGAAGTGAATGGTATTATCCCCATTTTACTATTGAGAAAAGTTGCAGTAAGTTAAGTTGAATCTATTTTGATGTCTGGAAAAGGGTAATTGTTTATGAAAGAAAGAATAAGCATGAAAGTCAATTCCTCACTCAGGTAAAATAAAATATCTCCTGTGTGGAGTCAGATAATATTACTCTACAACGGATTTTTATTGTAGCTCTTTCCAGAGTTATATGGTTGTTTTTCTTTGCCTTCCCTGAGGGCTGTGTTCTTCTCTCGCTTGTTTCCAAACTTGCTAGTAGTTAATGGTTTGTACCCTGTGTAGATACCATATTTTCACCAAGCAGAGATTATACATCCCAGAATCTAGAGCCCATGGACCTTTTGTGTTGTGCAACAGGAAGCATTTGGGAAAAAATAGTGAGTAACCTGTTATCATTTCGAATTTTAAAAAGGAACTGGAAATCTAGCCATTAAAACTCTTGGTAGAAGAATCCAGAGAAATGAAGAAGAGCTTTAGCTGTTTCTTCAATTGTTTTCTGGAGAAATTGGGCATTGGATTTATTTTAATTTGTGTTTTTTTTTTTTTTTTTTTGTGAGCAAGATCAGCCCTGAGCTAACATCCATGCTAATCCTCCTCTTTTTGCTGAGGAAGACTGGCTCTGAGCTAACATCTATTGCCAATCCTCCTCCTTTTTTTCCCCAAAGCCCCAGTAGATAGTTGTATGTCATAGTTGCACATCCTTCTAGTTGCTGTATGTGGGACGTGGCCTCAGCATGGCCGGAGAAGCGGTACGTCGGTGCTTGACCGGGATACGAACCCCAGGCTGCCAGTAGCGGAGTGCACGCACTTAACCGCTAAGCCATGGGGCGGCCCTAATTTGTGTGTTTGGCTTAAGCTTGCTACCATGTTTTCATCATTTGAAATTGCTCAGGAGGCCAGTGGTTTGGTTCTCTTCTTTGGGAATGAATTATCCCAGAGAGATGTTCTCTTTGCTCTTTCTCTGACTTGTAAACTGACAAGCTGGGTTTTAATCACTCGTAGAGTATGAGCTTCTTTTCCTAATAGTTACATTACAGAGTTGTGATAGCTAAACAAATTAATGTATATTAAGAGAAAGGTATTTCAAAAAAATATGGATCAATAATTATATATTACAGACCTGGATTACCACCTTGGAAAGAATTAGAATACATTAAATTTTTTTAACAATAAAAACTATATTTACTATAAAATAAATTATCTTATGATTTAGAAGCCATTTCACTATCTACTAGTTCAGAATCATTATGAACATTATTGTACTGTTAGATGTAAGACTTACTAACAAATTGAGCTGAATTACTGCCATGTCCCATGTTTCTGAGATTAGCTTTTGCTTGATATTAGGCTTTTTTGTGCATAGAAATTTGCATAGCTGCTTGTGTAATAGGCCTGGCTATTTTCCGTTTATTAATTATTGTATAAACATTTACTTTTAAAACGGCCTGTTCCCTAAGTTCTTTCTTTATTTATTTATTTTTGGTGTTAAAAACAATTACTGAGCGTCTATGGACTTTTTCTTTTTGGGGTTGTAATCTTGGGTTTATGTTTTTTAAAATGTTTTCTTATTTTTGTGTCTTTTAAATGATGTACCACTTTTTTTTTTTTTTTAAAGATTTTATTTATTTATTTTTTCCCCCCAAAGCCCCAGTAGGTAGTTGTATGTCATAGCTGCACATCCTTCTAGTTGCTGTATGTGGGACATGGCCTCAGCGTGGCCGGAGAAGCGGTGTGTCGGTGCGCACCCGGGATCCGAACCCGGGCCGCCAGCAGCAGAGCGCACGCACTTAACCACTAAGCCACGGGGCCGGCCCCACTTTATTTCTTTCAGTTTCAACTCACACCCTCAATTCCAATTAAATTATTTGGTTACGAAGGGAAGCCCATCACTGTTTCAGGGATGTTGGCATGCTTTTGTAAAATCCATATTTCTATTGAAGTATTGATTAACTGTGTACTTTTCTTTTTTTACCTTAGTTATTTTGCTGAGAAAGAAACGTTAATAGTCTTTCTTTTCTTACAGGCACACAAATTAATTTTTCCTTCATAAGCACCACTTTATTTTCATTTTTGAGCACACTGGAAGCCATGTTGACTGCTGATGGTTGTGTGGTGGATGTATATATATAATAACGTGTGGATAGAAGTTTCCCTCTGCTGTCTTTCATTTTGCCACCTCATGTCTTAGTTTCTTCTTTACTCAACTTTTAAAAAGTGGCCAATAAAGGTTTTTAACCTTTGCGGGCTTTATTTGGCTCACTGTTTCTCTGTTCATACATAGTAATGGTGCTTGGTGTTCTTGTTAGTTAAAATTCAAGGCAGTAGTATTTTTACGACCTGTGTAATCATCAGCATGGCTGCCGTAACAAAGACCCACAGACTGGGTGCTTACACAGCAGAAATGTATTTCTTACAGTTCTGGAGATAGTTGGGTTCTGATGTGGGCCCTCTTCTGGCTTGTTGCCTTCTTGCTGTGTCATCGCCTGTCAGAGAGAGAGCTCTGATGTCTCTCGTTTTTCTTTTAAGGGCGCTAATCCCATCATGAGAGCCCTTTCTTCATGACCTCATCTAAACCTAATTACCTCCCAAAGACACTGTCACTAAATATTATCACGTCGAGGGTCGGGGCTTCAAAGTATGGATTGTGGGACACAGTTCAATCCATAGTAGCCCAGAATCGTGAATTTCAAACTGTGCTATATGGAGTTCCAGGGGTGCACTGTGGAGATGCAGGAGTAGGGGAGAGACCTGATGGGGCTCATACTTCCTCTCTGCTTTAACCAGAGCAGTTGTCTGTCTACTGTTATAAGATATCATTTGAGGAAAGAGTTTTGAGGGTAGAAAATTGACCTAAGAAGGTTTAATTGACTGGTGCTTTTGTTCCCTTTCTCTCATCGCAGAGCTGGGGTGCTCTTCTTCCTTACAACCAACCAGTGTTTCACCAGTGTGTCCGTCGTGGAGCTCTTCGTGATCGAGAAGAAGCTCTTCATGTGAGTAGGTCTCTGTTCTAGGTAGGGGGCTATCCATTATCAGGGCTGTTGGTCAAACTGGTCACGTCCAGAATCAGGCCACGATTGGTTCCTGGGGGTTACCAATGTTGATGGCAAAAAAACAGTCAGAGTCTGGGAGGAAAATCATGAGCATGTGGGGCCTGATACCAAGGGGAAAAGGAGTTTCAAGATTAGGACATAGCCAGGAAATCCAAATGCTGCAGAGAAAGCAAGCAATAAAGAGGCTGAAAAGGATCTTTTATTTTTAGCAAATGAGAAGTCATGGTGACCTTCATAAGTAAAGTTTGAGGGGCTTGATAGAAAGAAAGTAGTGGATTGAGCAGCAAGTTGCAAATGGGGAGATAAAGTTGACAAAGAATGTAGAGCAAGCTTAGCCCTCAATGGAAGGGGGATGGAAAGAGCCAGAGGACAGCCTTAAAATAACGAGCGGGCTGCTTTGTTTCTTGTGTTTTTCAACGTTGGAAGAGATTTGCCCATATTTACAAGCTGAGGAAAGGAATCATTAGAGAGGGAAAGAATGAAGATGTTGGTGGAAGAGTTTGGAATTACAGCAGGAAGATTGTCAGGAAGAGGAAGGATCTAGAACTTCAGAGGGGAGAAAATAAGATATGATAGCTGACAGGGATGTATGGTTGGCAGGCATGGTGGTTGAAGGAAGAAGTGCCATTTTCTTTCTTTCTTTTTTTTTGGTGAGGAAGATTAGGCCTAGCTAACACCTGTTGCCAGTCCTCCTCTTTTTTGCTGAGGAAGATTGGCCCAGGGCTAACATCTGTGCCCATCCTCCTCTACTTTATATGTGGGACGCCTGCCACAGCACGGCTTGATAAGTGGTGTGTAGGTCAGTGCCTGGGATCCGAATCTGCAAACCTTGGGCTGCCAAAGCAGAGTGTGTGAACTTAACCGCTACATCCCTGGGCCGGTCCCATCATTTTCTTTTTTATCATGAGAGTAGAAGTAGAAAGAGTTTAGTGATTGAAGCTGCATTGGGGGGCTTGAGTAATAGTCAAGCCCCCTGCATTAGGGGGCTTCTTCATAATCAGAAGTGGGGAGAAAGAAAAGCCTCTCCGACTGCTGAGATCAGCTACTGACGTGCTGTTCTTCAAGGAGAGCCAGTGTGGGAAGAGAGGAAGGAGATGCAGAACCTGTTTACCTGGAGTAGGTGTACTGAGGGCAAAGTGGGTGGCATGAGGAGGGGGCTCCATAATGAGAAGAGGGCTCATTGCCCAGAGCTCCTTGGGTATGACATCATCTCCTTGGGGATGACGCCCACCTGAGATGGTGCCTGATGCTGACAGGGATGAAGGGTGGCAGGTTAACCTTGAGGATGTGACAAGCTGTAGGTGTTAGACCTCTGGTGGCAGCAGAAATCTGTTCAGTAAGTGGTTTAATCATCTGGTCTGTGCCTTCTTAAACTAATGTATGATGGATGATATGAATTTTTGTTTTGTAGACATGAATATATCAGTGGATACTACAGAGTGTCATCTTATTTCTTTGGAAAACTGTTATCTGATTTATTACCCATGAGGATGATACCAAGTATTTTATTTACTTGTATAATATACTTCATGTTAGGTAAGCAATAAGACAAAAAGTATGTGTCTTTAGTCTTGGGCATGAGGGGAAGCTAATTTCTTTTTGCAAGTATTTTGGTTCTCAAAACTGTAAACCAAGCCATGAGATAAGGGAGCATCTATCCACTGCACATTCTGAAATAACTATTCTCTGAGGACATTTTTGTCAAGACTTTCCCAAACCAACTTTTTTTTTTTTTTTTTGTGCTGAGGAAGATTTGCTCTGAGCTAATATCTGTCACCAGTCTTCCTCTATTTTGTATGTGGGTCGCTGCCACAGCATGGCTGACAAGTAGTATAGGTCCGTGCCTGGGATCTGAACCCCAGCCGCCGAAGCGGAGCACACCAAACTTAACCACTACACCACCAGGCTGGCCCCCAAACCAACTTTTAAAACTATTTATAAAACTATATTTTACTGAGAGATGCTTTGTGTCATATACAAATATGGAGAGCATTCATAAAACTCTTTGTGACTATGCTAGAGGAGCTGGAGCTGGGATATTTATTACTTATCTATTTATATTTGTGTGTGTGTGTGTGTGTATGTGTATAAAGATAATGAAAGAATAATTTTTGGGGTTTATTGGTTTAATAAAAATACTTGTTTGATAGATGTAGAAGATTCATTTGTGCATTGTGTTTAGGCTTCACCCAGGCTCATTGCATCAGAATTTCCTTATATTTTACTGATAAACACACAAACACACCAGAAATATATATATGTATTTTTGACAAAGCACTACAGGAGAAGATCCACTGATTGAGTTTAAACTTACATTTTACAAATAAGAGGTGTGTCATAAAGAATTAGGCATAGAACCTAGATCCTCAGACACCTGACTGGTGTTCTTATGGCTGTTCCAAATCTTCAGATCATACGACCCATAATAGTAAGTTTTATGAAACTTAATTTAACCCCATCCTCAACCCCAGAGTTATATGGTACTTTGTCTCAGGAGACTAGGGTTATGGGTTATCATAGTGTTATTTGCACAACAAACAATCCCAGATACACAGTGACCTAGGCAGTTGGATTAACTCCCTCTTTTCTTCCAAAGGATTGAAACCAAAGGTGGAGGCCTTCTTCATCATGATGTTTTCCCTTATGATGGTGGCTTATTCAGCCAGTTCTATGGGACTGGCCGTAGCAACAGGTCAGAGTGTGGTCTCCATCGCAACACTTCTCATGACCATCTGTTTTGTGTTTATGATGGTGAGTCGGAACTGTGCTTCTCTGAGAAGTAATTATTTCCCCTCACACCCTCCTGCAAATTCACCTGTCATGTAAAACCTGCTTTGGATTTTGTCAGGGGGACTATTTGCTTTAAGGAGGCCATGTATTGAAGGGTAGCTTATATTAGGGAATGCACCAGCTTTTTCTTGACTCTTCTCAGCCTTTTCTGCTTCTGTTCTAACATAGTTACTGTAACTTTAGTTAACATGTTGTTATAAATGAGCTTTTAAAGATGCTTCTTGGTGACATAGTGAAACCTTGATAAATTAGAACTTCAAAAACCAGAAAAATTTTGGTTGGAAGATTCCCTCATAAAAACGACAGGTTATGCTGGTGTAGGAGAACTGCTGGCTCATTGAACCAGCAGCTGAGGCGGTTGGGTTGGATCTTTTGCTCTCCAAGGGAAAGGCTAAGCTCCACGAGAAATAGAACAGTATGTGGCATGGGTAGTCTATCTTGGGTCCCTCCTATATTTTGAAAAGGAGTGTTTTAAAAAAATACTGAAGGGGCCGGCCCGGTGGCACAAGCGGTTAAGTGCGCGCGCTCCGCTGCGGCGGCCCGGGGTTCGCTGGTTCGGATCCCGGGCGCGCACCGACACACTGCTTGGTAAGCCATGCTGTGGCGGCGTCCCATATAAAGTGGAGGAAGATAGGCACAGATGTTAGCCCAGGGCCGTCTTCCTCAGCGAAAAAAAGAGGAGGATTGGCGGATGTTAGCTCAGGGCTGATCTCCTCACAAAAAAAAAAAAAAAAATACTGAAAAATTCCGAAGTCCACACAGTACTAGGTCCCCTGCGATCTGGGTTCCTGACATTTTCTTAAATCAATATATTTCTGCTTACCTTTTTTTTTTTAACGGTTACTTAATCCTAACCTTACATGCCCCTCAATTTTGCACGCACATAGCTGAATCAACAGGTGAAGGGAACCACTTACCATGTTTCCCTACTGCATCAAGGAAACAGGAATGCTTAGGCTATTTACTTAATACACATGTCCTTCTTGCTAGAGTACTAGAGTAGGAGTAGATGTCTTTAAAAGGTACGTAATTAGCACAAACTCTTGCCAAAGTATAATTCTTCCATTTCTGAGTTTGAAAACTATCAATGTAAACATTACTGAGAAAGTGACAAACCTTGTGTACATTTCCTCTAATGTCATCCAATAAATGTCCTTCAATATATAAAAATGTTTTGTTTGATATATTAGATGCTTTGATTTATTATTTAAAGGTTCCTATATACAACTTTTAAAACCAGTCATAAAATCGGATTTTACTCAGAGATGCTGCATGTTATATGTTAAGCACTTGGTTAGGTCAAGTTTAAAAATACATAGTCACACCAGCAACATTGTCACTGTTAGGCCCATCCCAGCATGCCTAGTGCCAGTTAGAAGTTTTATATGAATCTCTTCCTGTGTAGCCATCTCTTGCTGGATCGGTCCTTCCTGGGCTCTCCATTGTAATACTGCTTTGTGGTAAATTTAAACAAAGGTATTGACCATATTTTATGCTGCATTCCACCACATTATGCTGTGTATCAGTTCTAGGCTTTTGGTTTTAAGCATGCATTCTGAACTCCAAATTATTGCTAAAGTCATATGGACATAGAATGCAAACCATTGTAAACAACAAATCTTACTGTATTATGGAAGTAGAGAGGGGCGTGAGATGCTCAGGATATAGTCCAGTGTGTTGATTGGTGGGGACATACCGAGGTTGTCTCGTTCGAACAGTCAGTGCATACTGACCTCCCATTGTGTGCAGTTATAGAGAAAGTAAAAGCCTTGACAATTAAGGATCTTCCAATTAAATGAAATATATATCATAAATATATTGTCATTCCTTTAAAACCATAAACTGCCCCAGCTATGGAGAGGTATGCACATGCAGAGAGGATATGGTAAGTCTTGAGAGTAGTGAAAGGAATTTTAAGAAAGAGTTGGCCTTAGCAGAAATGTTTACAAGGTTCTAGGGGACTTAAAGAGGATAGTCTCTAGAATTCATGAGATGACTCCACCTATTCTGATTCTTGGTATTTGCTTTTTATAGATATTTTCAGGGCTGTTGGTAAATCTCAGAACCATTGCGTCTTGGCTCTCATGGCTTCAGTACTTCAGCATTCCCCGATATGGCTATACGGTAAGTTTTCCTTTTCTGTCATGTGACCGAATCTTTGTTCCCAAGCTGGGAACAACCAAAGTAAAGCCTAACCGTCTCATGTCCCTGGCCATGAGCTGTGAAAGTCTCCCATCCAGGAATTTCCTTTTGGGAGCAATGGATGAGAATTTTGTATTATTTTTGGTTAACATAAGGCCAGAGGTCACCTTGGTGGTCACTTGGGGTTTCTCCAGTCTCCCTGTTGTTTGAGGAGGTGAAGTCTGGGGAGATAACTCATAGTGAAGGAGAAAGATTGACTGACTAACTGATGTAAAAAAATAGAGTTTGTTTCAGTTCAATAAGGAAATAAGTGAGAATATGGGAGCCTAAAATACATATTTGATATTGAAAGGGAAATTAGAAGAAAAACAAAGACCGTATAAGACTTACAGCCTATTGGCTTTAGAAAGCGAATCAACTCCAAAGAAAACTGTGTCTTAATATAGTATGATTGAGTTTCTAACTCCCAAAGATTATTCCTGGTTTTGATGAAAACAAACAAGAAAATAAAAAAGATTGTTGCTATAAATTAACAATAGTTATTGAGTACCACTGTATCACTTTAATTATAGCGTTTATGGGGTTATAATATTGGAGAAAGAAGAAGAAAGAGCAATGGGGTAATATAGCCAGAGGTCTCCCTTCTTGGCCAAATACTTTACTTCCCTTGTATTAGATGCCAAAATCCCAGCCCAAGGCCTCTTGATTGCCAGGGAAAATAATTTTAGTTGCTTTGGTGTGACAAAGACTGTGAATGTGAAGCTTGGTTTATTTTTAGAAATAACAATGAAGATTAAACTAGGAGGACGTGATCGGGATAATTCTTTGGAAACTTTGAAATTTAAAACTATCTACGTTGCCCTGCTCCTCCTTGTGTTACAGGCTTTGCAGTATAACGAGTTTTTGGGACTAAACTTCTGCCCAGGACTCAATACAACAGCAAACGATAGCTGTAGCTATGCAATGTAAGTTTGCATTCAGTGTTGTAATGGGTTTGCTTATTGTTGTGGTGTGTTGTAGAAAGGCCGCTGGATTTAGAGCTGGTATGAGTCCTTACAGGGACACTGATTTCTGAGCCTACATTTTCTTCTCCATAAAGTGAGTTGCGAGACACTAAATTGCATGTGAGGTGCTGTACCACTCCTAGGTACTCTACTGCGGTCAAAATTGTATGTAAGTTGGAGAAGTGTTTCTTATGTGTTGTTTGTTTGGGACCTTTTAAAAGATCTTTTTGCTGTTTTGATTGTGGATTTTAGTTTTTATTTTCAGAACATTTGAATTTGTAATGAGCTGCTTTGATCTTGTAGCAAGGTGTCTGAACTGTACAGATTGTGTGAAGTGTGTGGATCTGTGAACTCGTGGGTTCCTGAGAGCCCAGCCCAGGGCTGCTAGTCAGAGCTGAAAGGGCAGCAGGAGCGGAAAGGGAGTGAACATTCCTGCCATACTCCTGGCACTTGCCTCATCCTCCTGCATTTAGGAGACATCGTGAAATCAAAGTCCGCACGGTTATTATTATTATTTTTAAACTGACTTGGAATACTCCCTATTGAAGGATGTATCCTCTAAAGAAAGAAACACATATTTCAGTAAGCTGAGAAGGAAATCCCATTTTTTGCATAATGTCAATAAAAGAGAAATGCAGATTTTAATAAAATTAGAGGATGGTGTTTTAAAAATTGAGTAACACTTTCCTTTTTGATGAATGGTTGTTAATGGTTTAATTTTGATACATTGACTAATGAGAGAAAAAGGAATGCTGGCATCCTAAATCTCATGACCATTCAAGTAGAATACAAATAATGCTTAATAACAGGACAAAATGCTATTTTGAAGTATTGCTGGAAAACCTTTATGAAGAGAAGTTTTCTTTATCCTGCCCAGTCCCTCTCTTTTGGTGTGGGTGTAACATTTTGTTTTTGAACAGCTAAATTCTAAGAGTTGCACAAAAAATGGTACCAGGCAATAATTGTGGCTGTGCCCAGCATTTTTAGTACCAGGGGCTGTTCTAACCTGTGGTGAGGCTGCTCCATCCTGCTCTACCCCAGCTACCACCAAGGCTTACACCTGATCACTGGGCCTGCTGGTGATGCCTTGCAGCTGAGCATCTGTGATGCTCATTCCATTCTTGGTATAAGAACCAACGGAGTGCAACTCTGGCAGGAAGCCCTTACTCATCTCTTTTCCTAGTTTTAGAATTCTTAGCTGTGTTCTTTTGCATGGGTGATTTGTGTGTAATGAGTCCTATAAAGAGCTTTGATCATCTTTGTAAGGGCCTTAGTTGTCATCTGCTAAAGCTGAGGTTTTCCCCATCAGGAGTAAATGAAAAATTACTTGATAAAAGTTTCTGCCCTTTGAGAGAGCAGCATCGTAGATTTGGAAACAAATGAATTTGGAGATGCTAGCAACTTAGTTCAAAGTATGAGTCTGTGACCTTGGCCAGGCACCTTAAACCTTAGTTTCTTCATCTTTTAAATGTGTATAATATCTACCCCATTGGGTTGTTTTAGGGATTAACTAAACTACTCTACGCAGGTTGCTTAGCGTAGTATCTGGCAGAATTGTAAGTACTCATTGACTGTTACCTATTATATATGAAGAGATAGTTATTTAAGACTTGGTAACCTATAGGCTTCTTTAACTAAGGAACAGTAAATGTATTGAGTAAAATTTGACAGATGCTAAGAATGAAGTCATATTCTTTTCCTGTTGAATTTCAGATGTACGGGCGAAGAATATTTGAAAAACCAGGGCATCGATCTGTCACCTTGGGCTCTGTGGAAGAATCATGTAGCCCTGGTGTGCATGACTGTTATCTTCCTTACAATTGCCTACCTAAAATTGTTATTTCTTAAAAAATATTCTTAAACTCTTTATATTACATGATTTACGCACATATTAAAAAGAGAACACCTTGATTTATTATTTTAAGTCTTCATTGAAGTTTTGTTGTTGTCTTCTTTTCATTTGCCATCATAGTGTTATTTAGCAAGAATTATTTTCAACAGAAACATTCCTAGAAATCACAATGAACTTCATGAATTATATGTGAAGGAAACCAAGACATAAACTAGTGATATTATGTCCTGCATATTAGTTCATCTAGTCAGACAGTAACCATGGGGGAGAAATCTAGTTTAGTTTATTGACCTAAAAAAGAATTGAATTCTAGAAACTCATGACAAGTTACTGATTTCTCTGGTATCAGTTTCCTCATCTTTAAAATAAATAGGTGGGTTAGTTGCCCTTCAGTTCAATATTATATGAATCTATAGTCTGCCATTATTTAATAAATAATAAATAACAAATGTATATATATATAAATGCTGTAGTGAAAGGTCTAAACTGTGTTGAAAAAAAACGCAGTGTTATTTACAGGGTAAAAATGCCAATATGATAGAAAAAGCTTTGATAAGCCTTTTAAGGGTATTAGAACTTACTGAGATTTCTCTCTAGTGGAATTTGAATATCTCAGGGGTATTGGCTGGGCTTTTGGACTGTCGGTTTAGAGGGCCTGGAGTCTGGTGACTTACCCCTTGTGGGGTGGTTCAGTGATTTGTGACCTGGGTGTGCATTCGAGTCTCCTGAGGAACTTTGCTCATATACAGATGTCTGGGCCCCTTGAGTCCCACTGCATCAGTACCTCCAGTGCTACTTCCGTAGAGAACTGTTCACGCCAGGCAATTTCCAAGATCCTTCCCAGCTCTGAAAATTTTAGACTTATGATATAATAACTATTATAACTGGCCCTATAAAGGCCAGTTTCTTCCCTACACACACATCTCATTTATTGACACATCTTCTCTTCATTCTAACCTTTACCAGTAATAGGGAATTGTTTTTTTTAAGTTCTTTCTTATTGGAGGGTAATGTAGGGGAAAGTACAGTTCAATGAATTATCATAAAAGGACCATACCATGCAACCACCAATGCAGGTCAAGAAATAGGACATTACCAGCACATGGAAGCCCCCTCGTGCCCTTCTCCCAATCACTACGTCCTCCCTTCTCTCTGGGTTGTTTTTGCAATGACACTTGTGTACTCCCCTCTGTTGCTGTGTTATCAGAACATCACTAGAGCTCAGTTTTGTGTTCCTGTATGCACAGGTACATCCTTAATTAAGTCCCCCCTCCCTGTTTTAATAAACTGTTAATTTTGGAATAATTTTAGATTTACAGAAAAGTTGCAAAGATAGTGTGGAAAGTTCCCATTTTCCCTTTGCCCCGCTTCCCTTAATGTTGACATTTTATATACCATGGTACATGTCAAAACTTAGAAATTAACACTGGTACATTACTGTTAATTAAATCATGCACTTTATTCAGATTTCATCACTTTTCCACTAATATTCGTTTATTGTTCCAAGATCCAGTTTAGGAGATCACATCACATTTAATCCCTCTTTTTTTTTTTTTA